AGGTATCCAGGATTAGTTGTTTCATCTTCCCAGGGATGCAGATGAGGATTAGCCGCCTCCTTCTTGCCCTGTTGAGGTGAGGAATGACATTTGTTTTCCATTAGTTCTCAGGTGCCCTCTCATAGTAACCACAGTGATTCAAAGACTATCACGAGTGGCCTCAAAATGACTTCAGCCATTTTGATGGATGCATCTGACCAGGGCTTGTGAAATTATATAGTTTGTGTAAATATTTAGTCATCTGATCTGGTATGAGGAAGAAAGTCTTCCTTGCTTCAGCATTCCCCCAGGTCTGCAGGGCCTGGAGTTCCTAAAGGCCAGTCTTGCTGATAAAGACTGATGGGAAGAAGATACCCTATGTCACCAGGACCCCCGTGCCACCCAGCAGTAGGCCCACATTTTCTCTGGTCTTCCTTTAGCCACTTCTGTACTTAGAGAAACCCTTCTTGCTTTTGACCTCAGTTGCCAGATGTGATTCCAGGCAGGCTTTGGCTTTCCTAGCCATGTGTCTACATGTTTGGACAGTGCCTCTCTGTTCCTCCCAGGCTACCTGTCCTCTGTATCCTTCCTTTTTTTTTTTGTTTGAGTTTAGCTAGGAGCTCCTTGTTCAAACATGCAGGCCTCCTGGCATTTTTTGCCTGAATTCCTTCTTGTTTGGATGAACAGCTTTTGCACGTGGAAGAGATAACCCATGCGTATGAATTAGCTTTTTTAGATCCACTTTTTTCTCCCGGGCCTTATGCCGTGGGACTCCTTCAAGCAGGGGCCACATCTGCTCTCCTGAAGTATCTGCATGGAACATGGACTGAATGTCACATGCCAGAGATGTTCATGGTCTACTGAGAATGGCACTTGGCTGTGCTCTGCAAAAGTAGGGATCTCCATGTACTAAGAGTCTGCACTTCCTTCACCTTTCTTCCTCTGCTAATCTGTTGATTGAGATAAGATTTTTTGCAGGCAGATACCACAGCCAAGGGCATCACCTTTATTAGAAAACAGCTGAAACTTGTCAAACGTTAGTAACTCAGAGAATGTAGCATTTTCAAGATGCTCAAACTATCTTAAATCCACTTTGTCCACTGATACCAGGAAAAAATTTGTCCCACAATGTAGAAGAGTTGCAACTGAAAACTCACAGAATATAGAACCTGGGAGTTGAATTTAACTGGTGTTTGGACTGCTTTAACTTGGTCTATATATGCAAGAATTTTCCGTTTGCTATTTTATAAATAGTATACAAAAAACGCTGCTTTTTCAGTCTTACCTAGAGGTCTGATCTCACAGCATGTTTTTTCATCTCAGTAGAATAGAATAGAATAGAATAGAATAGAATAGAATAGAATAGAATAGAATAGAATAGTTGGAAGTCACCTACAGTGATCATCTAATACAGCTGTCCACACTGGATTGAATCAGGCCCAGTGATTTCAGCTGTCATTAGACAGGGACTTAACATGGTTATGTTTATAAACCCCACATGAAAAGAACAAAATTAATAAAAGTGACAAATCAACATAGAGCTGAACACTTTTGTGTATACAAAACAAAGTTTTGAAAGCAAAGTTCTGTTATAAACATTTTTGATAGTTGGCATGCATACAAAGGAAAGCATTCATCTAGCACTTCTGTGCCAGCATAGGTATGATAGTTTGAAAATCTATAGACATAAAGCCTTGAAATTTGTATTAATGTATTAACACTGAGAGAGTAACTTTATAATACACTTCTGACAGGAAAAATGTACTTAGTCCACCAACAATTACATTCACATTTCACATCACCTTAGTATTAATATTCACATCATGTTGTATAACATTTTTCAGTGGAGAAATCTTGATATCTCTTTTACTTGAAGTGATAGGAGAGCTCCCTGGTCAGTGTTTTGTAATTTTTTTCCTTAAAAGAGAGGCACACATATCAAAATCTGAACTCTGTCTCGGAGAGACAGATTAAACTCAACCTGCCTTGCTTTAAATTGTATCTGGTTTTATTTCTGAGAATTTTTACTGAATAAGAATACTTACTTTACTTACTAAGAATACTTACTTTTTCCTTAAGTGGTGTCTGCTTATTAGGTACATATCACTGAAATTAGTATTTTTTAATACAACAGACTGCATTATCTTGGTCATACCCACCACCACCATGTGACTGCCCTGAGTGATGGACATACCTGTATAGTAGGAAGATTCTAGAATGCTGTGGCACATGATTAAAAGATACACTTGAGTGATTTTTTGTTCTGTTTTCCAATATGTCTAATTCAGGTAGTTATAACCTGCTTCTGTACACTGCCTGTCTGAGGAGAGTACCATTTAACATCATTGTTCTGTTGCAGATTTTGCTATGCCTAAATGTACTGTGCACAGTGCCAGCTTGAGTCTCTGTACTGCTGGCAAAAGAAAGCCTGTTGATGGGTAGCTAAAAATTCATAGCACGTATTCATGTCAGAATGGATATATTTTTTACTGAAATGCAGGTCAGATGTTGCTAGTCGACTTTGATTATTTTTTCCAGGTAGGGGAAAAATTTAGGATCAGGAAGGAATGAGAAGGATGGGAAGAATAACTGTTGGAGGGGGGAAGGAGAGGAATTGAGGGGAGATTTAACTCCGCTCATTCTGCAAAATCTTCATCCAAAACTAGAAGGAAATGGACTCTTCCATGGCAGTGTTGTGTATTTAGGTTTGCTCCTCTCCAGGAGTGTGCTTTAGCTCCCTTTAAACAAGGGAGTTAAACTTTTCGTAACCTTAAAATGTAGCAGAATCTGTCTTGATCAAGTGTTAACTGACAAGTTATCTCAGGTGAACTAGTTGTGCAGTCTTGTTTGAAAGACAAGCAATGGTAAAAAAGTAAAAGGAATAAGGAGGAGAGAAAGCATTTTATTGTTTATAGTCTTACATTTTTGTTTCATTTACATTTTTAAATTAGTTCCCACTTGCCCAAGCTGTTTGAAGCTTGAATTATGTTTTTTTCTGAATAATTTTATCTTGTTATTAAAAACATTGCTTTTATCTTTCTCACAATTAATGAGGGAAGAAAATACTTTTCTGTAGGTTTTGCTCATTTGCCAAATTTCTCTGCTTCATTCCTCTCACATCAAGGAAGTTTATGGGTTTTGTCTGTTTTGTAAAACCAGTGGAGTTAGGTGGCAGGTTTTCATTGATATTCTTTTTCTGGAAAATTTAAACGTTGCTGAAAATGTTGCATCCATTAGGAAAATGAGGATTCCCTAGCTGCTCTACTTGAGGTTTCTTGGCAATATGACTTTTTGCTTGCAGAGAGAAAGCAGAACTTAAGAAGAGCTTTGTGGACAGACAGCTGGTAGGCTGAAAGATCCTCTTACAATTATACTGGAATGTTTGCTTGAAAAGCTCTTCCTAAAGTGTAACTCACATTCTTTTAACTTTTGCATGAACCTGGGGTAGTACGCATGTGTGTGCACGTGGATTCATGGATGGTTTTTGGTAGAAGTGGAATTCCATTCTCCAGAAAGCTTCACATGCAAGTGGCTTTAACAGCCATTCATCTCCCTTCCTACTCTGAGGACATTTTTTTAAGAGCTAACTAGGAGAGGGCCTGCCATTAAATAGGTATTCTGAAACTCTGGTGTTTTCAGAACATGTGAGTGGTACCTCTAAGAAGATAAAAAAATGAAAAGCAAAACTATCCCAAGTAGTCTCTTGTATTGTTTCTCATTGTAATCTAATTTTGGTTCAGTAAACAGTATTTTAAATTGTTACTCATATTATCTTCGGGATTGTATTTTGTTTCCTGCCTACTGATTTAATGAGTTCCAAGTTAGAGAGAATTAATGGCAATTACAGAACTCTCAAAGTCTTAAACTGAACTTGAGACTTTAAAAACAACCAATCAAAAGTTTTCTGAAGTTGGTAGACAAAAGTTCTTCTTTGCATTCTGATTCAGATTCGTGCTTTTAAATCCCTCATTTATGTTTGTTATGTCCAGACCCTTGCTTTCTACATAAAGGGAAGTTGACATTTTCCCCAGTAATTAGTATCTTTCATTGACTGTAAGTACTTAATATCGTAATGTAATTGAGTGAGCTAACAATTTCATCTGGGTAGTATTCCAGACTGCCGTGTTTACCAAAAGACAGAAAGTTGGCAAACTATTTAAGAACAGACAGAAAAAACTGTATGTGACGTTTCTACATGTGCACACTAAACAGTGACCTTTAGGTGGTGGTCCCAGGCAGCAGTGATAGTTAGAAGCCCATTCAGACTGGACTTTTGTATTCCAATGCCCCACAGAAGGACTGAGAGTCTCAAATACAGTAAAAGTTTTGACATCTAGGCAACAGGCCTGACAGAGGTTGGTCTGAGATCCAGGAGCTGGTCTGAACACAAGGTTGCACATCAGACTATGAAAATGGAGTAATTTCATTCTCTGGTATCTGCAACTGAACTGAGGCATGCTCCAAAGTCTGTTCCTTAATGTGGCAGTGATCCCATCTGCCTCTGTCTTCTGGTTTGCACCAGTGATCTGGTAGTGAAAGGCCTCCATTGCTCTGGTAGACCATACTTGATTTTTTCCCCCCCAGGCAAAGAATCTGGGGGGAAGCAGAACGGAGGTAATATGCTCTGCTTTTGTTCTGACCACTATCACATTCTTTGTCCAAGTATGATCTTAAAACAAGGCAGTGGCACTGAACACCTTCTCATCTTAACGTGAAAATAGCAAGTTTGAAGATCAGAATTATGGTCCAGCTACAATATAGATAATTTAACTCCTGTGCATGATCAGTTGGATGTGGATTTCTTCATTTTCTTTCTGTCCATGTTGCAAATGACTCTATCTCCCAGCAGAGTAATAATGTGCCAGATTTCTTCTGGTTATTCTACAGAGCACTTAATGCAAATTACAGGAAATTAAAGGAAAAGCTGACCTAACTTATTAACTCATCATAATGAATATTCAATCATAGTTCATTATTAAGCTTATCCCTTTGCAATCTCTCTTTTCTCTCTTTTATTTCAGTCCCCTCTGCAGTCCCTATGATGCATCAGGTGAGTCGTACTACCAATAGCATCACACTGTCATGGCCTCAGCCAGATCAGCCCAATGGAGTAATCCTGGATTACCAGCTACGCTACTTTGATAAGGTGAGTAGGAAGTGATACCGTGCTGATCGTTCTGTAGAGAACAGAGAAATCTCCTGTCTGGGAGATGCACCCCTGGATCAGAATGAACAAGGTGGAGGAAAGAACAGAGGAGAAAAGAACAAGCTGTAGCAGAATTATTACCAGAAGTAATACACGCTTCATCTGACATCAGTCCAAGTGCATTTCCCAACTTGGAAACCTCTATGGACATTGCAAATTAAAACAAATAGAAGACACTTACTTAAGCTTAAAAGCTGTGGCTAATAATAAGTTTAGCATCAGCTGACACAGGTAACAGCAGAAGGAGCTCAATTTTCTAAATGTGTTTATTGGAATTGGACTCACTGCAAAAGTCTGTCGTGTTTGTGAGGGGAAGTCGTGTGTCCCGGTTTATGCCTGGGCAGATGTCTCCAAGAAAATTTTTGAGGAGGAATGCACTCTTTCATTCGCTAAGTGGTAAATACCAGTTACCTTTTCTGTGCTGGAATTACAGGGTGGCAAATACAAAGTTGTCCTCCATTCACGTTTTGTGACTCCTAATCCTTCTGATTTGAGGGGAAGAGGTACGTGGGACTATTCAGACAAGTCCCCATTCCATATTCTTGATCTTTCACATAAATATTTTTGCAGGATTGTGCAGGGCTACTGTTTTTCTAGTGGTAAAAGGGACTGTCTAGGGATTTGTGATGTCTAGTAGCTTCCTGGATACAGCATTACACGTGTTCTTATTCTGAATTCTCCTAGGAGAATACATGAGTTTGGAGTTTGTAGAAAGGAAATCACAGGACAAGGTAGTTTTGTCTCTCACTCTCGTTTAGATTGAAAGTCTTCAGCAGAGCCTAGGGAGTCTTTAACAGAAGCCTAAGGGAATGAAAAGCAGCAGTGAGGAACAAGTAGTGTGTGGGAAAGTAATGTCTGGAATAGCAGCTGTGGTTGGGAGGTTCTGTAACAGGTTCAAAGAATATTGTGCTGACGTGGAAACTATCATGCCTTGATGAGGAGAGCGAGCAGCAAGGGCAGAAGTTTCACATTCTTTTTTGATCGCTGACATTCACAGGCAGAAGATGAGGATAATTCATTCACCTTAACTAGTGAAACCAACATGGCTACCATATCAAGTCTGAGCCCAGGCAAGATCTATGCCTTCCAAGTACGAGCTAGAACAGCAGTGGGCTATGGCCCATACAGTGGGAAGATGTATTTCCAGACTTCAACAGGAGGTAAGTGCTACCATTTTGTACTCAGATCTGTATATGATCATCTTTCACTTGTGTGTGTCCCTGAGTGTATTAGCTTATCCTCTGAAGGACTGCTATCAGGCACTCCTAACTCAACTTGTATCTCTGTATATCATAATTTGCATATGCAGATTTGTTCACTCAAAGAAGCTCCATGCTATCAGAGTGTATTGTTTACACTACTGCCATACTCCCCAGTCCTGTTCCTTGTTGCCTCTGTACTTCTGACTAGCAGGAGCAGAGTGTGTCAGTAGAACTCTCTTTAGGGGGATGTTGCAGTACATAGCACTATACAATGCTGTAGCTTGACTTCCAGCTGGACGTCTTACATGGGACACGGGATGTCTCATGAGACATCTTACAGCTGAAAGCTCTGTGAAAGTCTTAAAGATAGGTGGGACACAGCACAGAAAGATAGATGAGGCGCAGGCATATATGGGAAAGCTTGCTTTCCAGCAGTATGGAATCCATTTGTATGGATCAAAGGTACTCATCTATGTCATCTGCAAGCTAAATTAGATAGCGACAATGGGATCCAAGCCGAGGTGTAGAGCTCACCTATACTTAAGTAAATAGTCAGGTGTCAGTGGAGTGGGGGATGGAAAAGTGGATTCAGAGGGAGCCTTTTCAGAAGTAGGAAGGCAGGCACTGGAGAAACACAGTGACTGGGAAGCAAAGGGCTGGTAGGGATGGAATTATGGGTGAGACCTAGCTGAGTAGAAGGGAAACTATAACAGTTCCTGTCCTCTGCATTTATATGTGTGTATGCACGTGTCTTCCTTTCCAGGGGAGCGTTCAGAGATGGTGCAGGACCGACTGCCGCTTATCGTGGGCTCAGCGCTCGGTGGTCTAGCCTTCTTGGTAATTGCTGCCATTGCCATCCTTGCCATCATCTTCAAGAGGTGAATTCCTTGACCTGCTCATGTGCACTTCAGACAGTGGAACTTTCTTACCCCCGAAACATAACCCCGTCCCAAGGGAAACAGCCTGATCTACATTTATCCAGATGTCCTTGAGATGCCATTTTGTAATTAAGGAAAGATCTGCCCCATTATTCCTATCTGAGAAGCCTCCTTTGGTAAACCACTCACATACTTAGCTGATATTTGGCTAGTTAGCAATATGAACACAAAGAAAGTATTTTAAAGCTGATGCTCAAAAGGTATTTAAACGTATCATTGTAAAGAAGGGACTGTAAATTGCATTTTAGGCAAGCAAGTGGAGAATGAAACAATGGAGTGGAGAAGGAGTATGGGATAAGTATTCAGATTATTTAGAAAGTGCTAAATACCCTGTCACCAAGAACCAAGGGCTCATTTGCTGAAAAGTAAAATCTATACAACCCCAATGGTTCCATGGAATGTTAATTCATAAAATATAGGTTAAAGAAAGTACACACCACTTTCCATTTTGGAAAGAATAAAGGGCATATAAGTAATTGTAGAGATAATCTTTTATAGCAAAAATAGAAGGACAAATTTTAAAGAGAAAAAAGTAAGGGTTGCTACTTTTGTAGAGGTACAAAAGTAAACAATGGGGGTGTTGTTATTTGAAGAAAAGAAATGGTCATTACCTGCTCCTTGAATTTACTGAGGTTTCAACTTAATCCCCTAGATTGTCAGTAATGGATTCTATATCTTTGCTCTACTGTGCCTCTGCACAAGAGGGACTTTTTAGTTTTTTCTGCTGACCTAAAAATTGTATAAACTACTTAACTTTAGAAATTGACGTCTAGTTTTAATGATTTCTTTTTTTGTTGTCTTCCCTATTCTGCATTTGTTTTCTCCTTCTGTGTATATTCTTTTTTAATATTTTTCTTTCTAGAAAGAAAAGAATTATCAAATACTGTTATAAGTGAATTGTTACCTCCTTTTGTAGCTTTGAACTGTTAAAAATATCATTTCTTGTTACGGCTGGAAATGTGATATTATGTGCACAACTCAATAAAACATATATTTTTCTAAAAAAAATAAACCAAACCCAGAATAAGTTAATACTACCAAAACTGTGTGGGGGAAAGACATTAATGGGTATCTGTAAATATACATATAAGGAAGTACTATAAAAAAAAGATTCATTTATACTTAAAGGATAATGTACAGTTAATAGACAATTGTTCAGAAAAAGTGGAGATACTGAATTTCTATTTTAAATTTGTCCTCTATAAGAAAAGTCAGTTTGAAAATGCAGGAAATGAGGAACACCATGTGAAATGAGTAGTTCTTTAAAAAGTTGAACGTATGTAGAGCCAAAGGCTATAACTTTGTTTTTAGGAAATGTTGATACACATTTTTCAGGCAATATGCAATGTGAAACACCTATTTTAGCTAATTGTTTTGGGTTTTTTTAATGATGGAAAATCATTAGTATGTTAGATAATCAGTAAAAAGACATTAAAATAGACCTGACTTTAGGGTGCAACAGCAGTGTTCGAGCTCTTAGGTATGTGCCCCCAGTAAAGCAAATTGCTTTGTGCAACAGAACAGAATTTGAAGGTAGAATTGTCTGTGCTCTCAAAATAATACAGTTATCTATTAGAATTACAGAATTAGCTATGTTCCTAAGGAAAAATAACATAACATTTCATGATACTCTGCCTTCAGATGCTAGTTGAATCAGCAGCTAAAAGATCTTGTGCTGAAACAGCAAAACGTATGGATTGACACAAATCCATGCATACAGCAGGGATACTGCAGGATACCACAGAGTTTGATTTACAATCTCATCTAATTAATATGGTGATTATAAACTAACATGAATTGTACATTTTGGGGGAAAAAATGAATGCTGTTGGTAACAAAGAAAGTGGATTTAAACTGGAAAATATATCTAGACCAAACAAAGAATAGGGTGAAACTTAGAAAATAATTAGATCATGTGGGAAAAAATGCTTGAATTGCACACGTTGAAAAGGAGAATAAAACTGAGAAGTGCCTGTGTTGAGAAGGACATATGCTTTCTGGAAATTGGTTGCATATATGCAATAAATATTACAGTAATAGAGGCCATACCTGTTTTGATCTGCACATGCAAGAATCCCATCATGGAACAGATTTCTGTCCCTCTGGATCTTTGTTGTTGTATTTGGGTACCATACTTATGAAAAGAATAGCCAACATAAATGCTGTTAAGAGTCCAGGAGGAAAAACAATGGGGGAAAATCATACAAATTAAGTATTAGAGTAAATGGCTCTTAGAATGTTTTCAAAGAACTTAAAAAGCATCATAGGAGATGTCTTAGATTACTATCAAAAAGAATAATTTGTTTTAATTTGATGAAATTAAAATGCAAATTTATCCTGAATAGCAAGAAAATTTCCAGGACAGCGATGTTAAACTGTGATATCTTTTTTCAGGATAGTGATGGAGGCCCTCTCATTTGTCAAATCTAAAGTGGGGATGCAAACAGTGGTGTAAAGACTACCACATAGACAACAAGCATGTACTGGTTACCTGGAGATGGACAGGATCTTAACACCCATCTTGTGCCCCTAAATTCAAGGATTCTCTGAGCCTTGCATTGAGAAGCCTACCCCGACATCTAGGAGAGACTCTTGTGTGTGTTTTGACTTTACTTTCCTTTATGTCCTGCAGTAAAAGGCGAGAGACTCCATACACAGACCGCCTGCAGCAGTATATCGGTGCACGAGGTAAGTGGTTCTGAGCAACAGATGGCAAGGGCCTGTCTCTTTTCGGGAATCATTAACGCCTATCTGTCTCAGGGTTTGATTCTGGTGATGTTTTGGGCTGTCTCCTCCACTGCAGGACTCGGAGTGAAGTATTATATTGATCCTTCAACCTATGAAGATCCGAATGAAGCTATTCGAGAATTTGCCAAGGAGATCGATGTGTCCCTCATCAAGATTGAGGAGGTCATTGGATCAGGTAGTGTGAGAATCTCCAGATTTTAAACTGCCTTTTTTTTCACCTCGAGACCTGGCACACTATGAGTCTGAAAGGGACCCATGGATCCATGGTACCTCAAGTGTGTCTGGATAGCTAACCTTCATTTTTACCAAAATTCATCTTAACCTACTTACCCTTAGGTGCTGGCTCCAAACCAAGTTTAAAACAGCCTAAAACTCAGAACTTCTCATTTGAACCCTGAGTATGTAGTCTCCACTCTTCATCAAGAACTTTACCCTAATCTGAGCAGTCCTAGTAACCCTATTTCCAAACAGCGCCTGAAGTCGTCCACAGTAGAATGCTTTAGTACACCTGACTAAAATTCATTGCTGTTTCCTTACTTGAGGTGTGTTTCTTCCCTCCCTGACAGGAGAGTTTGGAGAGGTGTGCTTTGGGCGCCTAAAACACCCAGGGAAGCGTGAATACACAGTAGCTATTAAGACCTTGAAGTCAGGTTACACAGAGGAACAGCGGCGGGAGTTCCTGAGTGAGGCCAGCATCATGGGGCAGTTTGAGCATCCCAATGTCATCCACCTGGAGGGTGTGGTCACCAAGAGCCGACCAGTCATGATTGTCACAGAGTTCATGGAGAATGGATCACTGGATTCCTTCCTCAGGGTACCACAACCAGAGTCTCCCACAATCGTTACCTCTTCATCTTGCTGTGTACCAGTCTCAGAACTGATAATTTTGCCTGCTCTTCCTTTTCACTCCTATCTCTTTAAGTCCTCAATTGCCCTCTTCAGGTGCAATAGAAATAATAACAAATTACCAGAGTAAGTGGTTTTGGACCATCATGGTGAAAATATTTCAAAAGCTCAACCACCATATAACATTTTTTCAGTATTTTAGACTTCTCAAACTCCAATAATTAATGTAAACAGTACCAAATTGTTTAACTTTATACACAGCCTTTCAGTTGCTTATGTACATGTTCCAAAGTTTGCCTTTCTAGTAATATTTTTAAGTCTTTATTCCACAGAATATTTTCAAGTTTCAACATTGTAATGAAGTAATGAATCTTGCAGTTATTTTTGGAATCATAGTTTTCAATGCTTTTTCTGGTAATGAAACATAAATGCAGGCATTTTTTTAGTATAGATGCTTCACTTCTCTTTTTTACTGGTTCATACGCTAATTCAACCACAAATACTTTGGCAGGTACGTTTTGAAGAGTACATGAACCCATTGTGTAGAACTGCATAGACCCAATTGTAAAGATCTTTGCAAGAGCAGATTTATCTGCTGACATTCATTTAGCCATCTTAGTAGTTAGTGCGACTGGGCATAGGATGCCAAAGGAAATTGTGGCCACAAGAGGAGAATTGCCTTCAGAAAAAGATAACTACTAATGTCTGATTTCATTTGAGATTCATTGCTTTAAGCACGCCCTTCTTTCTTATTCGCTATCCCTGAACCTTCAGATTTTTGCTGAAGTTAAGATTAATATTCCCTAACTTCAGAAATCTGCCTTGTTACCTTGCTCTTTAGTTATCTTCCCTGTTGGCTTTGTGTTTTGTGGTCATAAAAGCCTCTGTTTGCCTCCTCACTTGCAGCAGAAGGAGGGACAGTTCAGTGTGTTACAGCTGGTGGGAATGCTACGGGGGATTGCAGCTGGTATGCGCTACCTTTCCGACATGAACTATGTGCATCGTGACCTGGCAGCACGTAACATTTTAGTCAACAGTAACCTGGTGTGCAAGGTGTCAGACTTTGGTTTGTCCCGCTTTCTGGAGGATGATGCTTCAAATCCCACCTATACTGGAGGTCTGGTGAGTTACTGCAATGTTGTGAATTAGTCAGCAGTGCTGACAGCTGTAGTTATTTTCTGTGTTCCTCCTTGGTTTGGTGTACCCTTTTTAGTCCATCCTGAGAACACAGAGAACCGTGGAGTAGAACCTTCCATCTCTGGGGCTATTTGTTCTAAACCATCAGAAAACAAAAATAGCAATATCTGATTCACTCTGCCTGGTGAAGTTTTGGTGTTGTTCTTTTTGGCATGATGGTGAATAGGTCAAACCTCATAGCCTGATGTAGCTGTTATCTTCCCCCATTCATTAGCTTTTTACAGGAAGGATAAAGGACTGAAAGAGTTTGAAATCCTGTACCACCACCCTTTGAGGAAAGAGTAGGTTTTTTTCCTACAGAAAAGATAAATGGCCTAAGTATATTTATGGGCTTATAACCAACCATCGAATGAACTTATTGTCTATGAAGTTCTTCCACCTTCTACACATACTACAAAAAGGGTGGGAGTATAACAGGTGAGCTGAAGATGAGGGGGATGCAGAAGAATTCAATCACTGAAAAGTGAAACAATTTTTAGATATGTCCATTTTGAAATGATACTTCATCTTGCAGGTCATACCTGCAGTCAGAGGGGTCAAGATGGAAAGAATGAACCTAATGCTAGCCACTGAGTGTAGTGTTGCAGGTTGGGATTATTTAAATGGCTTTAGATTTCCAAATGATAGTGACTTTCAGGAGGCTTTTACTGTATGCTGCTTTCAATGTAGAGGTGTGAAAATTAATATCATGGTATTTGTAGCAGAAAGGAGGCATGATTCTCTCTTTTCATCTAGATTTGTCAATAAAACAAGGTTGAAACCTTGAACATAGTTTGAACTCAAACCAACAATGTCTACAAGACAGAATCAACTGTACTGTCACCCCATGCTCAAGAGTTGTGTTGTGCTGTTTCACTGATGTCATTTTCACAAATAGTCCTTATCTCACTAACCTTATGGTTGCTTTCTGTCTGCTTTCTAGGGCTGCAAGATCCCTATCCGTTGGACTGCCCCTGAAGCTATCCAGTATCGCAAGTTCACCTCCTCCAGTGATGTCTGGAGCTATGGCATTGTAATGTGGGAGGTGATGTCCTATGGTGAAAGGCCTTACTGGGACATGTCCAATCAGGATGTAAGTTTTAGAAGTGGTGAGAATATACATCTGCCTCTCTGTTCTGTATCAATTCAAGCAGAGGAAAGCCATACACACCAAGTCATTGAAGGTCTTTTGTCTTTTATTTTCCCGACCACGATAAAACCTTGTTCTTCTTTTCCTGCAGGTAATTAATGCCATTGACCAGGACTATCGCCTGCCACCACCCCCAGACTGCCCAACTGTTTTGCACCTGCTGATGCTTGACTGCTGGCAGAAGGAACGGGTTCAGAGACCCAAGTTTGAGCAGATAGTCAGTGCCCTAGATAAAATGATTCGCAAGCCATCTGCCCTCAAAGCTATTGGCACTGGGACCAGCAGGTGAGATGAGGATTAAATGCAAAATAATAGGACTTGTCTCTTGATAGGCATCATGAGGAACAGAAAACAATAAATCAGGCTATATGATTTTTTTTCCAACCCTCCCATCTGAGACTGGAAACAAAAAGGAAGGAAAAAAAAAGGGAAAACAAGTTGAAAGAAATACGTATCCTGATTCATTTAATGGGTGATGAGGAGTCGTGAGTGCTGAATGTGACAGGAGATAAATCTCAATGAGTTGCACTGAGGATGAATGAGTGAGGGATCTTAGGGAGTGAAGGGAGGGGACATATCTGGGTGCAGCTGCATAAGATATTCTGTGATCACACAATACTGTGTGACCACAAGTGATGATGGAGGAAAAGAAGACCTTAGCTTAAGGAGAGAAGAAAATTTGTAGAAAATAATAATTAGAACTGCAGCTTGCATCCCATATTTTCCCAAGTGCATTTTGCAGCATGACGGAACAAGGGACAGGAGGTCAAAGGAGAAGTCTCTGGGGAATAAATGGTGCCAAGGTTAGATGACTGCTGGGCTGATGACAAAATTACATCCTGCTGGCCTGGAGGGCTTTTCCCTGTGGTTATAAATCTTGTCTCTGTGGAATGTACTCCATAGCTGGGGGAGGGGGAAGTATCTAGTGATTTCTGGTTTACTAAAAGCAGCAAGTGTTATAGCTTTGGGACAGATTCAGACGATGGGGAAAAGAGCAAATGCCATATGTGAACAGTCATTTCTTTGGCCTTTTACTACTATGCTTTTATCTGATGGGTGTTGGAGCTGAAACAACACACTCATTGTCTCATAGGTTACTATCTGATCCAAGGAAAGTATTTAGGAGAGGGAGAATTAGTCACAAAGGTAAAAAGGTAAATAAGGTCTCATCTCTCCTTTAACATGCAGCTCTTTGCCCAGCTACTAGGCCTAGACTCAGAAAGTGTGAAAAGATTATGGGAAAAAAGTAGAGAATGTGCCTGAGCAAGTATGGGCAATGGGAAGGATAAATTTCTTGGGTTTGTATGACTGTTTTTAGGCAGAAAAGGGGACACAGGGAGCCAAGAAACAGCATATCACAGTGGGGTTTTAGGAATCAGGGTGTGAAGAACAAATGCCATTGTTCTTCATTCTATACTCTTCAGAGGTTGTGTCTTCTTTCTCTCATAACTCTTACTGTACTAGTGTGGTCAGGTGAAGTTGATAACTGGGGTTTTAGAACCTGCCTCTTTTTACAGACCATCTCAGCCTCTCCTGAGCAACTGTCCTCCAGATTTCCCTTCACTCAGCAATGCCCATGAGTGGTTGGATGCTCTCAAGATGGGCCGTTACAAGGAGAATTTTGACCAGGCTGGTCTGATGACATTTGATGTCATATCACGCATGACTCTCGAGTAAGTAGTGGAACAGAGAGCAAAAGATACCAGACACTGAGTTTTCCATGCAGAAAGTGAAAGCAGCCTGAGAAATGTTCAGTAAGGGCTATATGGAAAATACATACACATGACAAAGGAAAGGGAAGCCAGAGAAAAGTAGCTGCTGTTTCTTACATATTACTAGAGTCTCTGGACATCATCCATACCGTGATACATTTGTAGTGTGTTTCTATAAGCACTAGTACTTATCCAGTGTGCATTAGAAAACATATTCTCAGTGTTGCACAGAAACTGTTACATCAGAATGTTCATGACAGCTATCACAGGTAATAAATAACCACTTTTAAGTAGATATGTAGAATCAGCCACACCATGTACTGGACTGAATTGTTACATAGAAGACAGGAGACAGGAAAAGGAACATTCTTGGAATCATAAAATGGTTTGGGTTGGAAGGGACCTTTAAAGATTATCTAGTCTAATACCCTTGCCATGAGCAGGGACACCTTTCATTAGATGATGTTTCTCAGAGCCCTGTCCAATCTGATGCTGAATAGTTGCAGGGATGGGGCATCCACAGCTTCTTCTGGCAACCTGTTTCAGTGTCTCACCACCCTTTTTTATGTCTCTAGAACTCCCTCTTTCAGTTTAAAACTGTTGACCCTTGTCCTGTCACTGCAGGGCTTGGTAAAAAGTCTTTCTCCATCTTTCTTGTAAGCCCCCTTTATATATTGAAAGGCTGCAAGAAGGTCTTTCTGGAGCCTTCTCTTCTCCTGGCTGAACAACTCCAACTCCCCTTTTTTTTTCATAGGAGAGGAGTTCCAATCCTCTGACCCTTTTTGTGGCCCACTTCCACTGCTTCTTTTTGTACCTACCAAGTTCTGCCAACACCCCCCTCCACCCACACACATTTGTCAAGCAAAAGCAGAAGCCTTGTCAGCTGTTTCTCAGAATACACAGATATACACACATATATATCCATACACGTTGATTTGGATGTACAGCAAAATGGACTGAGACCATTCAGAACAAAGCAGCCCATTTTAACAATTTCCACGTCCTTTGTTCTTTTGCAGAGATATCCAGCGTATTGGCATCACCCTTGTTGGTCACCAAAAGAAGATTCTAAACAGCATCCAGCTCATGCGAGTCCATTTGAATCAACTTGAACCAGTTGAAGTGTGATGTTTACACCATCCTTATTCTGCTAGTCTCAAACTCTGGAAAGGTTCTGGGGGAATTCAAAGGGATTTCCACTGTAAGAAAAAAAATATCAGTATGCTACTTGAAGACAATGCACACAGAGTGCACACTACATGTCCTCTTCCACGAACAAAAACAAAGCCTTGCTATGATTTGAAAGCAGAGCTAAATGACTGGTGACAATTAAATGTGGCTGACATCGTACACTGGGAATGGGTTTGGGGTGGGAAGGTTATAATAGCGTGGGGCAGAGACGGAATAATAACTTAGACAGATCAAAAGCACCTGTTGCCTCTTCTCTGCCAACAAAAGGTATCTGACAACTTTGTGAAGTCATCAGCAGGCTTTATCTATGACCAAGAGCCCAGAAAAGCTACAAAGACATAATAAAGGCAACAAAAAATTAGCTTTTTTTTTTCAGAAGAATGGTCTGAGAGATTATTATTCAGATGGAGCATGAGGCTATCACTTGGTATGCCAGCTCAGTCCAGAACTGAAGTTCCAGATGGTGCACAATATGTGGTAAGCGATAACACATTACCTGATAAAGAGGTTGAGAGTAAAGGGTTCAAAATTCAATGCTATTTCACATGCTGTTCTTGGGTCTGCTCCATGATGGAAATTACTGGTTTTTTCTGGTTATATGAGGAACAGTCCATCCTTGGTGCTATGCAACTCTGTTTATGGGACTACAACAGAATGGATAAATAAGGATTCATAGAACCCATCCTGCTGGATCTGCAAGTAAAGAGGAAAACAAGTAGGTTCTGGTTCTCACAAGCCCATTCTTGTGAGGAAAGATGTGATACTCTGAAATCCTGAGTACCCAGAATTTGGATTTTGTTCTCTTCTGACCCCCTTAGAGACACTGAAGATTGTGACAAAATCCAAAGCCCTTTGCTATTGAAAAATACTTCTTCTTTTTCTCACCCAGGCCCTTGGGCACAGCTACTTGACTATTGTTTTTGAAGAAAATGCAGGCCTATAGTACTGAACTTTAAATAGACAATTGGAACAAGGAAGGTGAAACTCTTTTACAAGTTTTTGTCAAGAGTGATCAGGGAATGGTACCAGTCCCACGAGTCACTTCAGTCCTTAAAAAAGCATTAACAATGTTCTTGAGATCAACTATATTGTTTGGTTGAGGTACATGAGAGTGACCAGAATGACAGAGCTTAGGTACCTCTTCAGACAGACTTAAGGAAAGATTTGCTTTGAGAAGGGGCAGAGTTTCAAGACTGTATCTCTCTATCTACCCCTATGCAGGAGTAAGAAAACATGAAGCTGAGCTTGAGAGGAAAACTCATACACTTGGGGAAAACTATACACTTGCTACCTCATCAATACGTAGGAAGGAAATGGAAATAGCCCTGTTAAGCAAGACCCCAATGATGATACCTTTTTGTGTGTAGAGAGGAAATAACCCTGACTGTTCCAGTCTGTGCTCATCTGCTGGCTCACTGTGAACTAGCCATGAACTTACTGTATTTCCCCAGCTGTTCAAGGTTAGAATATCACAAGTACTTCAGATACTACTCCTGTGCAGATTTAAGGATTCCCCCAGTCAACCCAGCAATTGAAGACTCTCAGTCTAAACCATGTTTAATAGTGATTGAAGAGTCCAATAATATGATGGGAAGTGCTTCAGAATAATTACTCTAGAGTAGCCAACACAATTCAGGCTCTTTGTTACACCATTAGAGCAACATTATCATTAACTTTTTTAGCTGAAGAGGGAGAATAGAAGGACGTTCTTTCAAGATATAAAAAAAGTCAATACAAAAACAATGCAAGGAAACATGAATAAAACATTCATGGCAGTACAAAGAAAGTGTGAAGGTTTAAAAAAACCCCACACATCAGACTAGAGTCCAACCCTAGAAAATTTCAGTCTGTGCTTTTTAAGGGGTTTCTGTAAACTTGTAATACTCACACATCCAGTCCTATGTATGCTGACTGACTGTCAGCTCCACCCACGGCATCTGAGACAGAAGTGTTGTCCTCTTCAGAAAGCATATTGAGCACAAGATGTTGAGGGGAATCTGTGGTCTCTAGCACCTTCCATATATATTCACCAGAGGACAACAGTGCATATATGCATCTTCGTATATGAGTGTATTCTAGAAGTTCTATGTGTCATTTGGGGAAATGCGGCAGCCTTTCTTTTCCATGCCTTGGGTGGCCAGGATCAGTGGAAAAAACAGCAGTCTGGTTCAAATCCTATGGCCTCTTTTCAGCCTGGAAATTTATATTCAGAAAATAAATAGTCTCTTTATGCAATGGAAGACAAAATGGGAGCCTTGTCTGAATCTTACTCTGTTGTCAGTGAGGTCTAGTAGACCCTTATGGGGAGCTGCAGTGAGGTAACCTGCTTGGTGGTAGTTCTAACAGTACAACATTAGCATATGAAGTATATTGCAAAGTTGTTTCACAGTCAGAGGAAAGGGATTTACTTGCTATACCAAGGAAGTCATGTAGTGATTAACCATCTTAGATCTCCTCTTTCTCCTCTTCTAAGGCATGTAGAAATGTCCCCATGATATTTCTAAGTCAGGTGTCAAGATGTCATGGCTGTGGCTTGAACTGCACAGGGACAGACTTGGCATCACAAATTGACTGCAAATGGATAACCCTTTTCTCTAAGAAGTCTCTCCATGCTCTTTATTCGCAGTCTGTTCCTTATTTTCAAGTGCTTGTTTTCTTCCATAGCTTGGAATGCAAAGGTTCTGATGTTGCAATGCAACTTTTGTTATTTGTCATCATCTCACTCCTCAACTCTCCAAGCGTGTAGGAAAGGCAGTCATGGCAAAAGCGTTAGAAATATCCTAACCTTACTTTTCTCAATTGTCTGAAAACAGAAATGCTGCATTCTGTGTCCACAGTCATCTGGGATGTTCTGCAGTATATGAGCACCCTCAGCAGGTAGGGATAAGGATCAGGAGGGAAAGGAGTGGGGCTTACCTAGGCACCCGATATCTGTCCTTCACCAGAACAGTGAGAAACAATGCCAAAAACTCTTACAGAGCCATACTGTTTGCCAGAGGAGTAATGGGAGATTAACAATTTATTGCCCGCCTTTACTCTGCATGATTTCTGTAGTATGCAGAATATAAGAATAATGAGTAAATTAAATGCACAAGGATCAATGCATAGACCTTCTTGAGGGCATTAGGCATTTGTATGAAAGCTCAGAGGAGTCATAGCTATAGTTAAAAAGAATATATTGCTAAGACTAATAGCTTGAACACCAACTTCTCACTGTCTGGAAACAGGAAGAAACTTCACCTTAAGGCAAGCTGTTTTGTAATTATTCCTGATGAGGTTCCTTGAACCTGCCTTTTTACTGTCAGTTGCTGGAGAGCCTCCCAGACAGATAATTGGATCTGCACCGGTATGTCAGTTAATGTATTGTGCTGCCAAAGAGCATGTAGGGCAAGCAAGTTCCCACCTATGCTGCTTTGGCAGCCAAGTGAAATTCTCAGCCAGGAATTACATGCCTGTGCACTCCCTACCTCACTAAGCCATGGCATGTTTATGTCAGAAACAGGCCCTGCTCACCGGAGTGTTCAAGGACAAGCATGTAAACTAAGATTTTTGCATCCATACCTGAAATGATGTTGAGGAAAGGCTCCGTGACGGTCTGACTTACTGAGGAATTTCTGTGTTTTGAACCTGAGTACCCTCAGTGCACATGCAGGTGAAATGGCTTGCAGACCCTGTTTGGTTTTTTTTGTTGGTTTGGTTTTGTTGTGTTTTTTTTTTAATGGAAGGATATAAACTTAGTACAACACTATATTAGGGCTGATTTAGGGAACACAAGCTGCTTCATGGAGAGAAATGCTGAAAGAGGCTGCCTGTTTAGTACAAATAGGTTCAGCACTTAGGGCTCTCTAGAAAGAAAGAAGCTGCTGTAGCTTCCTTAGTCCCAGAAAATTCGTATGTTATGAAGTTAAGTGAAACCTCTGGATGTGGTGGGAAATGATGAGCAACACCAAGGAACTTACCTTAAATAAGCAAACAAAGATAGAACTGTCCCTACCACTGGATCTTCCTTGGTCAGGAATTCCAGCCAAGTCTACCTGAGGGATACTCTTAAGTGAAGGCAGCCAGACTGAATCAATCCTGCCTTTGGCTTACTCTCTCAGCAGTCAGCTACGCAACTTTTACACATACAGATGCAGCTAGGCAATAGATTTGGGTTCAAGGCAAAACTGATTCTTTCTTTTTTCTGAAACCAGGTGATGCTAGAAAAGCAATGAAATCAGCTATCACATGTTTTTCATGCTAGCAACTGTTCATGGGTATTGAGCATCCTAAGGATTGCAGATCACATGTAAATTTGAATCTCTGGATATCATTAAAAAACAGTATGGAAGAACAAACCTCATCCCCAACTAAGAAGCTAGTCTAATCCTTCACTTTTCTAATATGTGGAAAAAATGGCACCTCTCTCAGAATTTACATTTTGTTCTGGCATTCAAGGTCATCGTGCTGTGTGTATGAAGCTGTTCCACTTCAGTGTTCCTGAAAGGGTTGCACTGAGTTAATGAGAAATCACTGTGCCTTTCAGACCTCTCTGATCTGTACCTGGGACCTGTTCAAAGAGGAATCGCTCCCCCTGGTGTGCTGAAATACAGAACTGCTCTCAAAAAACCTTGGAGCTTAGCTATTTCATTTGCCTTTTTCGGGTGATAAGAAAACTCTGTTCTTGAAATATTCTCACTTAAAACATGTAGATTCATGAAAACTCACTGAGATTTCTTTCTGGTTTCTTCCATGATCTCTGTTCCTTGAATGAACAGGGTAATGTAATGTCCTTTAGTCAACTGCTATAAAAGCAAGTCACAAGCATGAGTGCAATGGGTTGGCATCTATGCCTCAACTAGTTAATAGAGTTTGGTCTGTTATTTATGTCTCTTATACAAGACCAAGTATATTTAGCAAACAGTGAGAAATCTGTTTGCTTCTGAAAACTAACCCCTAAAGTCAGACCATGCTAAGTAAGGTTGGAATTTTTTTCTAGTTTACAGTGACTCTAGAAATTATACACGCTGCAGGCTAATACTAGAATTTTAGTTACATCTGTACAACTCTCTCTCATTGCATTCTGGTACCTTTTAACCAAACCTATACTGCCCATACATTTGGACAGCTGTAACAGATTGAGCATTTATAAACAATTCTGTTGCTGAGAACAGACTCTAGTCTTCTTTGAAACATACTGACTCTGAAAGTGAACAGGAGATTAAAAATAAGAAAATCAGGTTTATTCAGACAAGTCAGCTAGTTCGACACATATGAATGAGAAGGCACTATCTGAAATAAGCTATTTAAAAATAGATCTATTCATGTTGTTCTGTTAAAAAGGAGAGTAATTATAGTATACCCTTACTGTCTCTACTGTAAGTTGTAAAACTGTTGCTATTTTAACCTGTCATCTCTCTGGACTCATAACAAGAACAAACTAATAACAATAACAATAACAATTATCATGATAAACAAATGGGGGTTTCCCCAATGAAGAGGACTACAGTAAGAACAGCTGGGTTGCCTGCAGTTTGTACTGAGAAGCAGTGGTTGGCTT